TGATATATATATATATGGGTGGGGGTGGGGTGGGGGCGGGGCGGGGTGGGGGGTGGGAATAAAATAGTGTAAAAACTAGGTAGATGCTGATATAGTTGGTTGATGTTTGATATAAGATGATTTGTACTCATAATTAGCTTAATTTATTTAGGGTCAATTTAGTAATTTGTTAAAATGCATTATTGTTTCACTAATCCTTCAAGATATGCCTTTTGCAATCATTTGAAAAAAGAATAGCTAGAGCGATTTTTTCAGACTTGAAATTCATCTTCAAAAAAATAAAACAAAAACTTCAAAAAATCAATCTGATATATAATTAAATGGTGTTTTGAAATTTCTTTGTTGAATAAAAGTGGAAAAAATTGTATGGACAAACATAAGCATAGTAAAAAAATATATATGATGATTTGGTAGAAAGTGTTTTCTCTCGAATAAAACTCTACACAGCTCTAATTAAAATTAATCGGCTTCAATACGTATACTAGACACTTTCAAAATCGAAAAGGAAAACGATCATACTATGAAAAGCACCGTTTGCGACCAAATAAAGATATATGATTTTATACATATTTTTTCAACAATTTAAGTTGTGCACATAATTGTATCAGTACTACAACAAAACTCTTGTAGTATGTTCTTCTTACAATATTAATCTCAAATACAACTACTTCAATTCAACATTGACTTTTAAAACAATAATTGCATTCAATTGACATATAGAATCTTAATGCCTAATCAAATGTAAGAAAACTTTATTCCAGATTCTTGAAACTTTTGTTCAATAATATGATTGAGTTTCTCACTCATTTCTATGGTAAAATAGTTTTTCCAATCTCCAACTTCTCCTTTACGAAAGAACACTTTATTTTCTGCCCCAGTTGACAATTTCCCATTTGTATTCACCTCCAAGTTGCTCAAATTCTCAAAGCTACACATTCTTAATATTTCATCCATCACTCCACAATTTTCTTCCTCTATGGAAAATGGACATTCCAAATATTCAGCCAAGCGTTTAAGCTGAAGTTTGGGTTGCACTTTAATTTCTTCATACATCAAGAAAAGTACTTTATTAGGCTTTTCTATACTCTGTTTCCAATAATCCAATATGTGATTCCAAAACGGACCATAAGGGCTCACCCCCTTACAAAAAGATTCAAATATTTCTTCAATGGAATGGATATCTTTGTGATGAAGTCTTAAATTGTTTGTAAAATGCCACATAGAAATGAAAGTGTCCTTAGGATTCCGACACAAGTAAACAAGTTTGGTTTTTGAATCTTTGATAGATTTTGGCAATGAAGCAAAGGGCACATGAGTTGACAAGAGTCTAGGTGAAGTGAAAGCAGAAAAATTAGGGACATGGCCATCAACATAGAGTGTGAGTTCCATGAATGGAATAAGATCATGAGGGTTCTTGTCAAGTAAAGGGTGATTTTGTTCAAAAACGGGATGTTTCATTCGATTCACTAAAACAAATAAAAGTGATTTTAACCAAGTGGTTCCTGATTTAGGAGGTGTAACAAGGATGATATCACTATCTTGAGCTTGAAATTGTTGTTGACATGCAATCGCACCTTGGATTGTTCTTGGCGATGCCCAAAAACCTTGATAGTTATAAATATACGATCCCATCCATCCTTTTTCTTTTGGTAACACTGAGAAAAAATTCTTACACTCTTCACTTAAGCCCTCTTGATCTTGTAAGTATTTGGGAAGAGATGTTGTCATGGTTTTGAAGATTGAGTGTATATATAGAGAGAACTAGACAAGAAACTTTAAATAGAGCTCTTGTTAATTTTGTTACATTACATTAATAATGTTGTTGTTGTGGGGTCATGTTAGAAAACACTTTTTTTCGCATCTAATAATTGAACAGCAAAGTAAGAGAACTAGACAAAGCACTCTAGAGATAGCTCTTAATTAGGCATATCCATGGGTAAAATATTTAGTTAAGAAAAAAAGTACACACATCTAGTAATATAATTGTTAGTTGTCTCATGAAAATTTTTATAAGGAAAGTTTAATTGGATAAAATCTTGATTAAGGAGAAAATAGTACATCACATATTTTACTATTCTTGATTAAAATATCACTTAATATCTAGAAAATGATGCATTCTAATCTTGTATATCAATTTCTTCAATATTGAGGTCGATAATGCCTTGAAAACAAATCCGCTTGATTCTGATCACTTGAAAATAATACCTTGAAAACAAATCCGCTTGATTCTGATCACTTGAACAAATTAAACTTTTTGAACATCTATTTAATCCATCTTTTGAAGAACACGAGTGATGATTTTTTTTAAAATTACATAAGTGTTCGAATTGCTCCAAAGTTCCTAGAGACTCATTCAAACTATCTATCTAAGTTCTGAATCATTATCTAGATCTATAAGAACTTTCAAACCTCTATTTCAAGTCCATTTACCTCAAATGTTGTTTTTGATCAATTTTTTGGCCTAACATTTAGCTTTTCGTTTTCTTCTCTGATACACATTTGGATGCCTCGAGACTCATGTCACCCAGCCTCGCAAGTCAAAATTCATATTTCAAACCCATAATAAGTGTCAAAACGGTTATCGAATGGATCGTTTACAAGTCGTTCTTTAATTTGTGCCCTCTCTAAACATGAGTATATGTATAGAGTGTGGTTCCCTTTTTGTCCATGACAAAACAAAGTAATATGAATTTAATACATAATTTGTAATAATGATTAATGAACATCTAAAACAGTACCATTATATTACTAGTAGAATTTTTGTGATATATATGTTCTTGTTACGTTAATCTCAAATACGCATATCTCAAATACATGTACTCCAATATTATTTTTCAAAACACAAAATAACCCCTAATCAAATGTATGAAAATTTCAGTCCAGATCCTTGAAATTTTTGTTCAATGATATAATTGAGTTTCTCACTCATCTCTGTAGTAAAATGATTCTTCCAATCTCCAATTTCTCCTCTCCGAAAGAACACTTTATTTTCCTCTCCAGTTGACAACTTTCCAGTTGTATTCACCTCCAAATTGCTCAAATTCTTAATGCTACACATTCTTAATATTTCCTCTACAACTCCATAATTTTCTTCCTTTATAGAAAATGGACATTCCAAGAATTCAGCTAAGTGTTTAATCTGAATGTTTGGTTGTTCTTTAATTTCTTCATAAATCAAGAAAAGTACTTTGTTAGGATTTTCTATACTTGCTTTCCAATAATCTAACACGTGATCCCAAAATGAACCATAAATGCTCACACCATTGCAAAAAAGATCAAACACTTTTCCAATGGAATTGGTATCTTTGTGATGAAGTCTTAAGTTGTTTGCAAAATGCCACATGGAAATGAAAGTGTCCTAAGGATTCCTACATAAGTAAACAAGTTTGGTTTTTGAATCTTGGGCAGATTTTGGTAATGAAGCAAAGGGCAAATGAGTTGACAAGAGTCTAGGTGTGGTGAAGGATGAGAAATCAGGGACTTGTCCATCAACATAGAGTGTAAGTTCCAAGAATGGAACAAGATCATGAGGGTTCTTGATAAGTAAAGGGTGATTTTGTTCAAAAATAGGATGTTTTACTCGATTCACTAAACCAAATAAAGTGCTTTTAGCCAAGTGGTTCCTGATTTAGGAGTTGTAACAAGGATAATATCACTATCTTGAGCCTGAAATTGTTGTTGACAAGCAATCACACCTTGAATGATTCGTGGTGTTGCCCAAAAACGTTGGTAATTATAGATATGTGATGCAAGCCATCCTCTTTCTTTTGGTAGAGTTAAGAGCAATTTCGTACACTCATCACTAAGTTCATCCTCTGGTAAATAGTTGGGAGGAATTTGGGGAGAAGTTTGAGACTTTGACATTGTTTTCAAGTGGATATATGGAGTATTTCTTTTAAGTTAGTAGGATGAAATATTTACTCATTAATACATGTATATATATTAGAGCTAAATCACCAACCATGTGAGAGGCAATAATTGAGTTAGTTTGAATCCAATCCTAGGGCACGTCTAACTTTATGATTCTTATCATTTCATGGTATAAAAATAGTCTCTCAATCTTTATTAGGTAGGAGTAAGGTTTGTATACGTTTTATCTTCTCTTGGTTCATTTATGAAATTTTTACTGAATATGTTATTAAATAGTCTCTCCATCTTTATTAGATAGAAGCAAGGTTTATATACGTTTTAGCCTCTCTAGACACACTTTAGGTAGGTGCATTGCTTTTCTAATTATATTAATTATGTTATACAATGCAAGTCAATCTTTTTATTTTTCATAATAAAAGAGGCAAGTCCCCAATAAGATATGCTAAAATAATGCATGTCGATTGGTGCAAGACATTTTAATAACCAATATATTCAAGAGTAATGTGTCATAGATCTAAACTATTAGAGCTCATTTGGTAGGATGTATAAGAATAATATTGAATATGGTGTATTATGAGATTATTTCTTATCCGATGTTTGTTTGGTGTATAAAAAATAATATGGATTGCATGATTTCTAAAAGTATATATTTATTTGTAAGAATATCCTCCATAAATATGATGATAAGGTTGTGGAAAAAGAGGTATTGGAATAATACTGTTACATATTATTAGTACTAGATGGGGATGGCCATGCGTTGCACGGGGCCAACATGACTATAATAAATAATTTATTGTACAAAACTGTATAATATAATAATTATTTCTTTATATTATATGCAAAGTGTTCACCTCTAACAATCAATCCAGAGTTTGGTAGCAAAGCATTTCAAGCTGTACTATAATATCAAAAGCATTTTAAGTTGTACTATAAGGCCTCATAATTTTGGCCCTTTGTGGCTCAATTTGATTGGGTATTAACAAGTGAAGGCTTTTTATTTCCACGTGTGAGCAATTGAGATTGCTTTGGGCTAATCAAAGGCTAAGGGTAATTAGAGCTCTTTCAATATATTGAGAGATTAATAAATGAATAATTCTACTATTATACATATAAATATATTTTCAACAGTACAATCACAAAAACCAAGTTTAGGTAATTAAATTCTTTCGCTCTTGACTATATTCTTTACACCACTGCAACAAAAGAAGAGAACGGCAAAGAGGTAAAATATTAATTTAAATGAAGCATAGTAAACATACCTTAATAAACACGGCATATGTAAGGGTCATAAGTACACATATAACACAAAATATAAAATAAGAAAGCAAAAAATTAGATAAGTTAGAATGTTTAGAAAAATGTAGAGATAATTAGAAGCTTAAAACTTAACTCTTTATTTGTAGCTTCATACCATGTAGTTGGAAACAACATTTCTCAGCTGGTGTCTCCTACCTACTCGAGGTAGAGGTAAGGTCTGCGTACACTCTATCCTCATAAACCCCCTTTTCAGATCCATACCAGGTAAATGATACATATAAAACCCATTAGAAAATTAGTTACCTTAACCCTAGAATCTATTTTGCAGCAGAAAATACATGAATGCAAAAAGTTATCTAGGGATACAACATGTAGATAGTCTTTAGTTAAAATGCCAAACGTTGATGGCATCAGATATCTGTAAAAAGTCATTCCTTCAGTTAAAATGCCAAACGTTGATGGCATCAGATATCTGTTAAAAGTCATTACATTAGCCAGAAATAGATTTTAGTATTTCAATGAATATATAAATGCATAACCGAAAGCACCAAGAAGGTGTTACAATATACAAATTAAAACAGACAGACACATTATTGAAAGAGTGAGGGAGAAAAAACGTCTTTACCAGCAAGGAGAAACGACATTTGAAGCCAGAAGCAACACTCTTTCTCCCTCTTTCAGTGATGCAAATCACAAAGTTTGAAAGAGATGTCAAAAAGTTTAATGGCTAATAAGATAGGCCCAGGCAACACACCAGAATAGAACAAACACGCACCAGAAATAAGGATCAACACAGATTCTCTATTTGTATGAATGTCATCTAGATTGCTCCTAATAAAATGTCAAAAGCCTAAGTCATTTTTTTGTGTGTTCCGTTCACCCATTTTAGTATTTGCAAAGCTTGAAATTTGAGGTAGAAAATTTAAGAAGGATGAACAATGAAATTGATCAAATGATTAGAATTTCTTAGACACTTGAAGAAGAGTGTATTTGTTTTATAAGAGTATTTACGGGAGCAAATTATTTTGTTAAATTAATTAAGCAAAAATATCTTAAAAGGGAGTACGAAGCTGAAATTCACACTCTAATGACTACCATGGAAATTGCAATGGAGAGAAGAGTAAAGCGGAAGGTGTGAGAGTCAATATGAATTGGGATATTTCCTTCTCTTTTTTTGACATAAAATACGTGCTACACGTGTACAGAAAGTAGTACATATTACACACTTAAGAAAAAGTAAAAGTACACATTACACACATTAACCCTTGATAACTTCTGATCCATAAATTACTGAACAACAAGGCATCTAAAGATATCCTACCGTCTCCAGCTTTGCAACATTGACCAACAGAGACTCGTTGCTGAAGGGGCTGTCTCTTTTCTCCATATTACAAAGGCTTACACAACTGGAGGAATACGTAGTGGAGGCGTGAACGGGGAAGTCGTCACAATTGCCTGCAATGGTGAATGATGGCCCCAAAACCAGTGTCAAGCAGTCCAAGGGTTAGGTAATCAGGGTTGTCCATTCAGATGCAAAGATCAAAGATTTTTTGCACCTAAGGACACAAGTACTCAGAAAAGGGTAATCTACAAAGAAAAATGCAAAAATTAACAAGAGATATTCTCATTTTTTTTACAAATGCAGTTACTGTATTGAGTCATTTGCAATACATGCACTTGATGCTGGTTTTGGGGCCATTTGCAACAATGCAAGCAATTGCAGCGATTCTCTCTTTCTGGCCTCATTGCAGATTATGTTTTCAAGTACATCGGCGTCCATGCTAACAAGTTAGAGATGTTTTCCTTAGCTTTTGTGGGGGATAGAAACATAGGCCTCCACTACGTGCTCTCTGGTTTAATTAACTACCATTATTTTCCAATTGAACGACAAATAAGCACATATGTTAAAATTTATTAAAGCCTCTCCCCCCCCCCTCTCTCTCTCTATATATATATATATATAACAACATGATAGAATATCAACATATATATTATGTCTATTGCACAAGGGATAATCAGCCAAGCAATGTAACCAAGAACTCGAGAAGCAGGAAGAATGCACACATATTCTAGACAGTTTGGTCAGCAGAGACTTCGCATCAGATTTTTCAACCTACATGTTGAAACTGTTCGGAATCACCACAACAATATCAAAATGCCTTTATATCCCCTTTGTTCTTCTCCAGAATCAAGATCTTTTATACACTTGAGAGTTGAGAATATCAAAAGGCTAGAGGATTATATTTCCACACATATTTTTTGACATCTAGTTTTTAACATATAGCTAATTTTAATTTAAAAATACAAAACAACATGTGATAAAGTTGTTTTTCATTGCTTTTAAAGGCAAAAAAAATAATTAAAGTGCTGACAGGTAAAGCTATTTTCAACAACCAAACAATTCATTCAGATCCTTTTTAGTTATGGAAGCTATTAAAGTAATTCTAGATAGATTTGAGTTCTCAGTAATGAATTTGCAGGTTAAGAGCTTCATATAGCTGACATCATTCCATACCCTATATATGTTATGTATTCCTGAAAGAGACAGATGCACAATCGAAAAGATAGTAATACTTGATCAAATGCATAATGTCTTATGTTGCAAATTCAAGATAAATATCAGTCTTCAGACAAAGAGTAGTAAAAAATTACCCTATGGATATAACTTAATAGTTTAACCTATTTTAGTCATGCTAATAACCTTATTTTCCAGGTTACAAACTTAATGTTACCTTAAATGGCTCAAAAAACTATTTTCACCATTGGTGTATATAGATTGAATTCTTGAATAATAGGATCATTTGGTCAGTACTAATTCATGTATCCATAGAGAGTGTTTTACATTTCATTAAAGTCATCTAATTATGTGACACACCACACATCTATAGCAGGCAAAACAAAGGCATACCTGAAATTGAGATTGAATCAAGTAAGATCCTAGCTTCCTGGAGGAGGGATCACCACGCTTACTTCCAGCTGAAAGTGAGAGATTTAATAATAGGCAAAAATACCCACCAGCTCTTGCCGTAGTGCTGGGCATTGCAGGTGCAATCAAAGCCTCACTCCATATGACAAACCAGGAGTACTCTTCCCCAACCACTTAACAAAGTATGTGGCAATTCGATGTGTTGTGTAGACTACAGTAAAAGACACATCATATGCACAAATTCAAATATAAGAATCTTAAAAATGGAGCAAAACATTACTAATTTGACGACGATAACAACAACATACGAAATCAGCAATGTGCCCATGTGTGCGTTTCAGAAGTGTAGAAATCAGCAATTAGAAGAGATTTCATACGAAATAAAATAGAGTAGAGGGTGCAATACTTCGACAAGGAACTGGATATTTTTAAATAGCATGTGATTCTCATCTAAATAAGCTTCATTATCGAATTTACTGTGTTGTTTCTCCTACAATCTGTCCAACAATCTAGCGGAACAAAATACATTGATCAAAATGACAAGGATTGGATGAGGTCAACAACTCTAAGGAGGAAACAATAGAAGTATTTGGTTTAAAACTAAAAGACATCCTTTTAGTCGAGAAAAGACTCAGTCTTATTTAATAGTTGAAAAATTCCCTTCTAGTTAGCTAGTCAAACCTCATTGTTCATCAGAAAAACTCAAGAGTATGCACATGCCCCTCTGTTATGTTTCCACTTAAATACTTTCCCCAACTTTGGGTCGACGTTAGAGTTGAAACTCGTGACATGAACGTCCCTCACTATAAATATACTCAAACAGTAGCGAAAATTTGAATTCTAGAGGTTATTAGACTAATCCTAGTATTTATAAAACTTATTATACTTCTATTATCAAAGTGACTTTCTTTCATAGCACTAAAAGACAGCAAAAACTTTCGCAGATTCACGCAACAATAAAAAGTAAAGCCGAGGTATGGAAGAATTTACAGAAGTTTATAAGAAGCAAATAAACAAACCTGTCAATTCGTGGCAAAACATTTTCGGATCTGATATTTCCCTAAACGATAAACCCTGTTCAAGCAAAACAAGTTTTGGAAAATTACAATTAAGTAACAAAAGAAAGCCATCATGAATGAGTAAGATCCTACAGTACTAATATGCATTCACTGAAGTTAGTTCTTTTTTTTTTTCTCAAGTTTAATGTGAAAGACCAACTCAACACTAGGTCTCAAAATTGAATTGCACCTTTTTAGCTTCTTCATTAAACAATACTTTCTCACACCTTACTCCTTGAAAAGCAACTCAAGACATAATTCATAGACATTTTGGAACAATGTCCATGACTTCATTTTTATATTGATAATGCTAAAATACACTCTTTAACATCACACACAAGGTAACTATTCATAAATTAGACTTCTTGTAGCCTCCTTATAAACTTGAAATGGAATACCTGTACAATTATAAAGTAATGATTAGGTGTTAGTACTTGTATTTGAAACAACAAAGATGCAAAATACATAGACAACAAATATTTTTCAAAGTGCAGAGTAAAGGAAAAAAAGGAGCAGGTTGACATTCGAGCAATATGTGTAAATAAACAGTTAAGCAAATCTAGTGAGCTACCAGATTTGAATATTCAGTTGTCTAGATGTTGATATGCATATGACTACTATGCCAATCTTTGAGATTCTAGGGATTAAATGTTGAACAACTTCTTCTTCAGATTCTTATTTTATAAGTTATGTTGATCTTAAGTCGAGCTCTTAGTTTCGATTTCGCTTTCCATAGCTAAAATGATCTTCTTTAGTGTGTGCTTTAGTTGTTGTTCTTGATGAGTTCGGACTGGCTAGTTTAGATTAAAGATGTGATTTGTTCGTAATCTAATCTTTGGACCCTTTCCATTTACCTTTTGTTTGTTATCATGCTTTGGCTGACTGGAGTGTATCCTCTTTAGTCCGTTTACTATTTTATCCTCACATGCCGTTTGAATTCATGCTATAAAACTGATGGTTTCCTCCCTTCCATCTACCCTGTTTGAATGCATATAATTAGAAATATAAGTTGTGCTCTTTAATATTGGGTTGCTTGGTCTGAAAATGCTATTTTGAGCTTGTTGACTCTAAAGTTACTCATTTACCATGTTGCAAAAGTTTGTTCTCTGTTTTTGCCAAAAGTTGTTTATTTTTAAAATTTATCTGTCTTGTTGGAAGTACAATACTGATAGAAGCATGCATAGGTTTTCTTTCAAGTTTGCTTTAGTTATATTCCTTTAATATCTTGGTCTATGTGTGTCTTAGCTTGACGTCTGCTTTTGGATAATAGTTTAGAGAAGAAAGCTTGTGTTGCAATGTTGTTATTTTCAGGTTCTTTAAAGTTCACAAAAAGAAGTGTTCATTAGATTTTAAGCCTTTTTTTTTTAGTTCTCTGGATATTTTAGATTAGACAAAATATTTTTAGAGTGAAAATTTGTTATTTCTTGTTTAAATTTCAATGCTTTCCCTTTGTTATTTGTGGCTGATTGTAATAAAGTTTACTTTAATGTCTAAACACCAACGTGTTTCCAAACCATGATCAAGTGAAGGATTTGATTTCTATGTGTTCACATCCATGTCTATGATAGTGTTCACTGTTTTATTTTGTTTTATGTCATTTTGTATCATTCTGTCTATTGCTAATAAATATTGCATGATTTCCTTTCGTCTAATTGCTAAATTTCAGTTTATGTGTTTTGTCTTTTATTTTATTTATTTCTTATGTTGGTTTAATTGTTATGACTTTTTGAAGTATTTTCCTTTAGTATTTTCGTATGTTAGATTAGAATATTAATCTCTTTTTTTTCTTTCTTTTCTTGCACATGAACTCTCTCCGAATGAGTCCAATGGACCCCCCTCTCTTGCATTCTCTTCTTTTTGAGTCAAACCTCCACCAAGTTACGAAAGGGAAGCCGATATATTGGGTTGAGACCCCAAAACCAGCAGCAACAGCAGCTCAAAAGAGCTGAAACAAAAGGGTTTTTCCGTTCAAATTGGCCGAAATTTGAACAGCTGAAATGAGGCAGAATTGCAGCAGCTTTGAAGGGCTGAAACTCACATTTTTCAGACTTAAAAAAGTTCAAAAATGGCGCCAGCAGCAGCAGCTAAGAAACTCACATGTTTCGCACTTTATTTTCCTTATATTGTGATTTTGTGATATTTGCTTTTAACTTCTAACATTTATTTCTAACATTTATTTTATCTAACTTAGGTGAATCCTTGGAAGTTTTTATATAACTCTTCTATTTCATTAGTTGTTTACCTTAAGTATTTAAATTTTCAAAACTCTTGCAAGTTAGGCAACTTAAGCTGTTAGACTAACTTGAGAATTATCATATTCTTTCATAGTTAGTAATTAGCTTTGGATCCATGTTTATGAGTTTGAACTAACTATTTAGTTCAAATTTTTGAATAGGATAAAATTGTTAAGTTTCTTAAAATAAATTAGTTGTCTTTTAATTTAACTTAGGACTTTGCATGAATGACTTGAGGATTCTTTATAACCTTTCATAGTCATTAAACAAGGTTCTTTATTCCATATTTATGAGTTTAAATTAATTGTATAAGTTCAAAATTTGACTATGGATAAATTTTTAAGTTAGGATTATTTTTGAGATTTCACAAGTTTCAAAAGATTTTTATTTAAGTTTCAAAATAGATATTTTAACCCTTTTTTAAAAAATTAGCCAAACTTTTCAATCCGTCGGTCAACCACATGTTAGCGGATTCTCTAAGATGCCTAAACCCTTCCTTGGAGAATTATTTGAACCCTTACCCGACTCTGGTTTATTAAAGATTTTACTTCAAAATTACCTTTTAAATGGTTTTCTTAATTTTACCCTAAAAATTAAGTGGCGACTTCCAAATTACCCATTTTCCCAAAAAAAACTTAACAAAATTGCCAAAGTTGCGAAAATGGTTTCGAAACCTTAGTTTTCGAAATCGGGTCGTAACAACCATAAATCTGAATTAATAATGAAATGGAGCCCACTTGTACAGTAGGAATTAAATTGTTGTTCGTATAATCAATTAGTGTTGTGTTCAATTTGGACAGCTTTCGGTACAATTTTTTAATGTTGTGTTCGTCCCAACAATGTGGTCTGTGCTATAATATAAATGGTATGTTTTGGGGCTAATAACCGAGTTTTTGAAGCGATTGTATGCGTGGATAAAGGAATAAGTTTTTTTTTATCACAAACCTGTACTTTCTTTGACGCTATTTAAGGCATAATAAGACTACCCACATACAACATTTTTGAAATATTTCATGTTATCAATTATCATGATTTATAGTATTTTTACGCAATTTTTAAATATAAAA